ATAATAATAATGTTTATTATTGAGATGGTTTAATTTATTGTTTATTATAATTGTTATCGTTATTATTATTAATATTAATTTCGTAAAACAGTCGATGTTGTCGAGGCGTCAAAATGTTCGTATTGAGTAGTAATAATAATAATAATGATAGCGTTTGGCACGTTTCCAATTTTATATTAATTGTTGTTATTTATTATTATTATCATTATTATTGTNGGTGAGAGGGTAGTAGATATTGTTATTATTATTTTGACATTATTATTTTATTATCATTATTATTGTTACTATTATTATTATTATTATTGTTACTATTATAATTGTCACAATTACTACAATTTACATGTACCTAAAAGTTCTTATTGGATGCTTAAATGTGCGTGCTCGTCAGTTGTATCTCGATCTTATTATTATTTTGATTGATATTGTCATTAATGATTACTATTCGTTATAACCGATTAAATTGATTTTGATATTGTTGTGTTTTGGGTGGAAATGTGGAGGTGAGTGGTTGGTGTATCCGGTGTATCGTTGGTGAGAAGGTTTTGAGTGATTAAATTGTTTTTTTGGGTGATTTTTTGGATATTTTTGACGGTTCGAGCAGTTTAGAGGGGTTGTAAATGGCACTGGCAAGTGTGGGGTTGGTAAGTGGCGCAGGGTGGTGAGTGTAAATGATGGGTGGTAAGTGGCACTGGACGTGGTGGTTGTGGTTTTTGAGATTTTGTTTATTTGTGGTTGTTTTTTATTGTATTTTGTTGTTTTTATTGTTTTATATGTTGAGGTGTGGTATGAAGTGGTTTATTTGATGGATACACAAGTTGTTCAATTGGGTAGGAAGTGTTTCGATGGCAGAAGAGGTGAGTAATTATTATTATTATTGTAAGTAGTAAGTAATTATTATTGTGAGTAGTAATTATTATTATTGTTATTGCAGTAATAGTAACCTGTAGCAGTGGTAAAATGATGTTATAGTAATGTTAAAATTTGTAGTAATGTTAAATTGACTCGATGATTTAATAGTAATGATAAGGTTTATTGATAATTTTTGATAAAGTAGTGAGAAATTATATTTGTAATTATAAGTAATGTAGTAATAATAATAGTAATAATAATAATAATAATAATAATGAAATTATAGCGATAGCAAATCTCTTAGTGGAATATTTTGAATTGCTCTCACACGCGCTATTATTCGAGTTTGGGTTATACCCTCCAGAGGCGTTTCAACCTGTGAAGTATTGCGATGTTATCGTGCATGTGGGTTTGATTTGTTATTATTTATTGTTTTTATTGTTATTTATTATTGTTTTTATTATTTATTATTGTTATTAATTAAGTAATAGATGTAATAATTAATACTGTAAATTTAGAAATGTGTGGACAAAGCAGTACAATTGTATATAGAAACGTCGATGCGGAGTATACATCGATGGGTGATGTACTCGAAGTTGAGGAGGTATAACGTGGCGATTTGCGAGGGGAGGTTGAATTTGGTGGTTGGGGGGTATTTGGTGGAGATTGGAGAGGCGTTGTATACGGGGGCGAAGAGGATGTTAGTGGTTTTTATTTTGTGTTGTTATTGTTTTTATTGTTTATTATTTATATTGTATTTTAATGATTATTTATTGTAATAATAATAATAAATATTATAGAGATGAATTTGACGAGCTAGCGGCTGAATTGAGAGGACGTCTGCAGAAAACGTTATGCGATATAGAGTTGAATCAGGCGGAGGCGTATTTGCTGGATAATGAGACGAGTTGGTGTTTGTAGTTTGTATTGTAATGTGTATTTATTATTGTTTATTTTTATTATTTATTATTTATTGTTATTTATTATTGATATTATAGTTTGTTATTGCTTTTATTG